TCAGTGCCACCGTCACCTCCGAGCTTGACTGAGACGACTGAGAGCGATTAGTTTGTTGACACTTGACACTTGTTGCCTGGCGCACGCCGGCGATAATGGTGATTTTTCCTTGCAAAAGTGTTCGAGCTAGGGTGTGCTGCACTTTGGGGGAGGTCTGTAGTACTGTTTCCTTTATAAGTTATCCACAAGCCCATGCTCCTTTCGCAATGTTGCCTTGTTTTTATTCTACACAACCCCTCTAGCAACATCTAGCAACTCGAAGGGCTTTGTGATGTTTGGTGAATAGCACATGTATGCAGAGTTTCCGTGTGCAAAGGTGAGCTGGAGAACATCCCTGTGATCAGCGCTCGAGCCATTTTTGAGCCAATGGGTATCCCCGAGCCCTACCGCTGGAAGGTGGGTGAAATCTCTGTCGGACGGGGTTCCATCCGGAAAGTCACTTGCGAGGTTTCGCACAGTTTGCCGCTTTGTTTTGCTTTGTCTAGGGACCTGAGGTGGATGATCATGGATGTGAAAGGAGATGCGAGACATGAAGAGATTGGAAGGTGCTTTCAAGAAGACTCTGGTAGGTGCTTTGCTTCCGGCACCTTGTGGACTGCTTTTCGTTGTGACCTCAGCTTTTACTGCATTTTTCTGCATGTTGTGTGACATTGTATGACCAGATGAGTAGTGGGACCAGGTTCAATTGTAAATCTTGCATGCCACAAGATCTCAGCAGCTCCATTTTCCCAAGCGTTCCCAAAACCTCAGGCAGGCAGCTGGCCGGCAACATGTTCATGTTCCACTTCACCGCGACTCCGAGGTTTGACCCGACTGGCACGACTGGTCCCAGCAGCTTGATCTCCATCGGGGATGGTTGGCAAGAGCCAGAACCTGAAGCTGCCGGACATGTCAATGTAGAGATTGAAAAGGATGGAAATAGTATGAAATAGTTGGATCTTCACATAGAATAAGAAATAATGTCGCAGAGATTGCGAGAGGGAGAGGTGATTCTGGGGCAATTGTTGAGCCTTCAAGACGAGATTGTGCACCAAAGCCTCCGGTGTACGTTTTCTATTTTGGTGCTGTCACACCAACGCCACAAATTCAGGCGGGTGGCGGCCATCATGGCAGCTCAGGCCTTGGGGATTTGCTTAACTGATTGTGCTGGAGAGAGGGTGCAGAACCGTCGAATGATTTGCCCTCGTTTTGCAACGTCGAAGCGCCCGAAGGACACGGAGCTGGCCATGGTGAAATGCATGAAGTTTCTGGAGCAGCCAGGGGTCGGAGCCACAGTCACATTTGGAAGGCGCCCGAAGGAAAACATGGCATTTGAGCCACGAGCTTGGTAGATCAGGCTGGGCTTGCCGGGGACTTTTGTTTATATAGATACATACAGCTGGCACTATGTGCCAGCTGTATGCTGGTCATGGCTTGTTAGTTATGGCATGATGCTTGTTATGGCGTCACTCGCAAGCCAGCCTGAGGCAGATCAGCTGGCGCAAGAGCTTGACCTTTGCACACAAGTCTTCGAAGGCCTCGAGCTGAGAAGTTTCACTTGCTAACGGCGAAGGTCAGGTGCTGGTGCTACTTTTGTTTGGAACAAGTAGAGTGACTCACATCAGGAATTGAATGGAACGCGCTTAAGAAGTCAGAAGCCATCTTTGAGTTTATAGACATCGCCATGAAATGCCATGGGATGTGTATATATAATATATATATAGTTGGAATATGTTTTGATGCTATAATGATTTTGTTTACATGCAACAGGGTCAAACGATCACCTCAACTTTATTGAAGTTGTATAACCACCAACACCAAGGCTTAGCCGCCCATCCCAGCTGGGTGGATTGCTGAGACGGCAGCTTTCTGTATGGAGGGCTTGGTACGGGATGACGTAGCTGGTGCTTCCAGGGCAAGAGTCACGATGCTGTCCAGCATCATTTGACCCTTCCGGTAGAGCACATTCCAGATTGCCCCAGTGAGGTGGAGGCCAGCTACAGCTACACAGAAGCTTGGGGACTGCAGCTCAGTGACTCCGACTCTGCACAGCCGAACCGACTCGGCTCCGTGCATCCGGTGAGTCGAGGTCTTCAGCTGGAAGCCCGTGCTGCGGACACCAGCGCCTTGGGCGGATCCTTGGCCACTGCCGGGGACCAGGTGATACGTGTGATGGGGGTGGGAACTGAGACTGCGATAGGTTGGCTGGCCTGGGGCAAGCTATGCCATGTGATATTGACACATGATTGCAGTTGCATTTGCAGGCTCAAGCAGTTGTTTCAGGAATGGACATTCATGAGCACTTCCAGGTAAGAGTAGGATTTGCAGCGGTCAAGAATTGTCACATTGTACATGCGCCATAGTATTTGAACAGGATTCCCCACACAAAAATTAGTCCTCATTCCGATCCTTGCCTTGTTTTGCCATGAATCTGTGCAAGAGAGGCTGGGAACGAGCCATGCTGCCTACGGTTTTTATACAAGAGGGGGGCAGCAGTAGTTGCAGGTGCATTTTGAAGGCCCCTGCACGAAAAAGGAGTGATAGGGGTGATCGATTCTCGATCATGCTCTTGTCTGGTACTTTGGCAGCCAGATGCGTTAGCCGTGTAAGTGTTTGTGCAGGGTATGGTGGCGCTCATGCCACGCGTGGAAGAGCCGACCGTGCTCAGTTTCGAGGACGAAGACGAGAGTCACCATATCGATCTGACCGTCCTGACGAGCAGGAGC